GAACAAGGTAAGATGGCATTATAAATTTATCCATTACAGCCCCTCTTTGTATGCTTCTGTGTATATCTCCACTCATTTCCATTTTGTTATCTCTTAGCATTTAGGTATTATTATTATAATTTTGGTACCCAGGAGTGCTTTGTCACTGAGCTACATTTCCAGCCCTTTTTACATTTTTTTTTTTTTTTTAAGACAGGGTCTTTCCAAGTTGCTGAGGCTGGCCTCAAGCTTGCAGTCTTCCTTCCTCAACCTCCCAAGTTGCTGGGACACACCACCATGTTCAACTCCAGCTTCTTGTTTTAACCTTATCTAACCTGCATCCAATTCCATTTTGGACTATTCTGAAACCAAATGAAAGATATTTTGGTCTATATTTAATCATTCTTTTTTTAATATTTATTTTTTAGGTTTTTTTTAGGTGGACACAATATCTTTATTTTGCATTTATGTAGTGCTGAGACTCGAACCCAGTACCTCACGCATGCTAGGAGAGCGTGCTAACACTTGAGCCACATCTCCAGCTCTATATTTAATCATTCGTAAGCAGGGAAATATAGCACTTTGTAAGTATCATATGAAATTCAATCCATTCAGGCATGGTAGTACACACCTGCAATCCCAGTAACTAGGAAGGCTGAGGCAAGGAGGATCACAAATTTGAGGCCAGTCTCAGCAATTTAGCTAGGCCCTAAGAAACTCAGTGAGACCCTGTCTTAAAATAAAAAATAAAAAGGACTGGGGATGTGTCTTAATGATTAAACACTCCTGGGTTTAATCCCTAATACCAAAAAAAAAAAAAAAAAGAAAAGAAAAAAAAGAAGAAGAAGAAGAAAGAAATCCAATCCAGTCATCTTATCCTATTTCAGGACCTTTTTTTTTTTTTTATTAGGGATTAAACTCAGGGGTACTTAACCACTAAGCCATATCCCCAGCTCTTTTATTTTTGTTTTAAGACAGGGTCTTGCTGGGCGCAGTGATGCACACTTGTAATCCCAGTGGCTCGGGAGGCTGAGACAGGAGGATCAAAAGAGTTCAAAGCCAGACTCAGCAAAAGCGAGGTGCTAAGCAACTCAGTAAAACTCCGTGTCTAAATAAAATACAAAATAGGGCTGGGGATGTGTCAGTAGTCAAGTGCCTGTGAGTTCAAACCCCATACCAGAAATAAATAAATAAATAAATAAATAAATAAATACAGGGTCTTGCTGAAGCTGGCCTCAAACTTACAATCTTCCTGCCTCAGCTTTCCTATTCGCTGGGATTACAGACATGTGCCATAGCACCTGGCTAGGACTGATATTCTTTCTGGCACTAGAATTTACTTTGAAGGAAGTGTGAAGTCATAGCTTAGATGTAGAGCTTAGCATATGCAAGAACCTGGTTTAATCCCCAGCAACCCAAAACATTACTCTGAAGGGCCTCAGATCTAGTCCACACAAAATGGACTAAATCATGGCAATCTTGTCACAGTAAAATATAGAATTTTGCTAAGCACAGTGGCATACACTAATAATCCCAGCAACTGGAGGGACTGAGGTAGGAGTATCACAAATTCAAAATCAATTTAGTGCAACCCAGTCTCAAAATAAAGAGCTAGGACTGTAATTTGGTGGTAGAGTGTGTGTTTCGTATGAAACTTTAGGTTTAATATCTAGCATTACAAAAATGAACAACAACAAAAAAAGGCTTCAAAATAAAATATAAAGGAATGAGGATGAAACTCAGTGATAGAGCATCCTTGGGTTAAATTCCCAGTACCAGGGAAAAAATATATGGGATTTTGATCAGATATCAAAAGACCAGGTACAAGATTTTCCAGAACTGCCTCTTGCAAATTATATAACTTTAAGTCACTTAGCCTCTCTGAGCCTTTGGATTATTATTTATTTTTGATACCAGGGAGTGAACCCTGGGGTACTCTACATCCCCAGCCCCTTTTTTACTTTTTATTTTGAAACAGGGTCTTGCTTAATTGCCCAGGCCGATCTTGAATTTGTGATCCTCCAGCCTCTGCCACCCAAGTAACTAGTAGCAACTGGGATTACAGGCTTGTGCTACCATGCCCAGCTCTGAATTAACTATAAAAGGGGTACTTCATGGGATTTTGGTTAGATTAAATAAAAGAAGATTCTATGAAATTTTGTGACCTGAAAAGCACCACATAAATTAGGTATTGAGTTCTTTAGTTAAGTTAAAGATGACTCAAATTTTGAGCCTGTGAATTAGAAAAACAGTGATGCTTTTGACAGAGAAGGGGAAAGTAATAAACTAATAAGCCTTAGTTCCATTTATATATAAATTACACACGCGCGCGCACACGTGTGTGTGTGTGTGTGTGTGTGTGTGTTTACTGGGGATTGAAGGGGGGGGGCACTTTACCACACCCAACCACATCCCAGCTCTTTTTGATATTTTTATTTAGAGACAGGATCTCATTAAGTTGCTAGGGCCTTGTTAAGTTGTTGAGGCTGGCTTTGAATTTGCAATCCTCCTACCTCAGCCTCCCAAACTGCTGCAATTACCGTATGAGCTACTGTTCCTGGCTACCTATCATATATATTGAAAATACACTTATTATGTTAATACCTGAAAACAATTATAACCTCCTTACCTTTAATTAAACTAAATTTTCATTTTTCTCTGGCTTCTTCCTATCTTTATCCAGCTACATTAAAAAATATTTAAGTATGTATTATGTGCTAGCACTGTGCTAGGCACTGGGAATCCAAAAGATTATAGTCTACCCCCAAGATGCTCAGGGTTGTAGCTCATTGGTAAAGTGCCCCTTGGTTCAATCCTCAGTACAAAAAAAGAAAAAAAAAAAAGGTGTGGGGCTGGGGTTGAGGATCAGTGGTAAAGTGCTCATCTAGCATGTGCAAGGGCCTGGGTTTGATCCTTAGCACCACATATAAATAAATAAAATAAAGGTATTGTGTTCAACTACAACTAAAAAATAGATATATAAAAATTATTTTTTAAAAAGTGATAAGAATTAATTTAGGCTGTGACTACAGTGTTGTTGGCACAGTAATCACAGGTGTGATTTTTGTTCTATTTTTAGAATACATGTGTTTGGAGTCACCAGAGAGGTGACCCCTAGAATATTCATGATGATTATGAACCTGCCAGAGAAGCTATAGAGAAGTGAAGGACTGAGCATCTATACTTAAGTGACTGGAGACAAACATGCTGTGGAAAGATACTGAGAGGCTGGGGATGTAGTTCAGTGGTATATTGTTTGCCGGGCATACAGGAGGCCCTGGGTTGGATTGCCAGCACTGCACAACAAAACAAAACACACCGAGAAGGTATATTTGGAAAGATAGAAAAAAAGTTATGTTAGTGTCACAGGAACTTTAAAAAAAAAAAGTCTTTCCAGAAAGGAGATTTTCTAAGCACATAAGGCCAGGTCAAAGAGAATGATAATTTTTATGGAGATTACTGACAACCTTCAAAAGCCTAGTTTTAGTTAAAGCAAGGATAGAAGCCAGATCAAGAAGGTGGGCAAAAAGTAGGTGATGAGGAAATGGTAAATCTAGCTGTGAAAAGGAGCTAGAAAATCAAGTGGAAAATTTTCTCCCCATCCACGGAAAGATCTGCTCACACGTTAAGACTATGGAGGTAGAGGCCCAGGGAGAGAGTGAATAATAGTGGAAAACTCTTACGTGATGCTTAATATGTGCCAGGCACTATTCCGAGCACTTTTCATGTATTAGCTTGTTTAATACATTTACTTCTACCTAGGAAGTGAGTGCTATTATTATGGCCAAGATGAAGCAAAGAATGATTTAAGTTACTAGTCCAAGTCATCTAGCTAGTCAACTGACTAAACCAGGACTTGAACTCAGTAGTCAGCATCAATGTTATTGGTATTTAAATTGCACCTGAGATTAATACAATATGAAAGCATCTTTGTGGATTCACAAAAAGGCACTATACCCTGACATTTCCCTTTAATTTACCCTAGAATGGACATCACCTATCTTCCTACAGTCTAAAATGTGTTGAACCTGGGGGATGCCAGTGGCCAAAGAAGTTTCATTGGCAGAGGGATATAAGTTATGATTTGGTTCTCTGGCCTCTTCCCCTTTCTGGGCACTTTCTTGTCTGTCCAATTCAGGATGTTTATTACCAATAATCGGGCACCAATGACCTGATGATTTTCACAACTTCAGTCATTCAACAAATATTTGAGCATCCACTTAGGGCCAGGCATTGTGCAAAACAGATAAGAAATCTGGTTTCTTAAAATTTAAGTTCCAGTGGGGATTGAGGGAGGAGACAGTTAGGAGGGCATAGCTGAAGGTGCGTAAGTAAGGGTGAATGGGAGAAAATTAACTGAGGGAAGCAGGCAGAATCCGGAGCAGGCGAAGCCTTCAGGCCACTCCCCAGAGGCGTTTGTATTTTATTTGCAGCGATTCAGAGCCTATAATGGACAAGTTTTACCAGGCTGTAGACTCGTGAATGCAATCTTCGCTTTCCCCATCCCTCATTTGTGCCAGCTGGGTCACCTAACCACTCGGGGCCCTTAGACTATTAAACCACCTAGAGCACGCTCCATTCAGTAATCTAGGGGTCAGCTCGCTCCCGGGGTCATCTCCGTGAGCAATCTCGGCCCTTTAGGGCCTGTCCGCCCTTGAATGTCCCTTTGGCCACTCGGTCGGCCAGGTCACCTCAGTTCCACGCCTCCCTGGCCCGCGATTCGGCGAGCACGTTACGCTTTGTTCCCAGAAGCAGGTTTTCGGAACGCCGCTCCCTCTCGGCTCCAACTATTTTCCTGCCAACCCTGGGAGACTCCTCTGCGGCAGCGCCCCCGGCGGCGCACCGAGGCCCAGGAAGGGAGTGCCCGCGGTCAACGCCTCCTTAAGCCTCCTCCCGGAACGCGGGAGCGGGTGCTAGAAGCCCACGCCCCGGCCACCGCAACCGTGTTGCTGATTGGTTATGACGAGCGACGTCACGGGGAGGGCCCCGACGGCCGCTGGGAGCCGGGGTCCCGCGCGTGCGCAGACAGAGTGCGCTGAGACGAGGGGGAGGTGGCCGGCTGCTTCTCCCGCGTCCGCCATTTTGTTGCTGTGGCTCTTGGGAACAGGCTGGGCAAAGCCGTCCCGGAGGCGCCACGCTCCCTCGAGTCCGGTGCTTCGTGGTCGGCGGGTGTCAGTGCAGACCCGTACGGCTGCGGAGCCGGAGCTTTCCAGGTCGCGATCCACTGGAACCACCCCCGGTACGTCAGACAGCCCAAGAACCCCAGGGCGGCCTCCGCTGCGGCTCGACTTCGCCCACCCGACCCCGGGCTCTGCCCTGCTTTCTCTGGGCCGGCTCTTTCTGTGAGGCGGCCCCGGAGCAGGCGGGCGGCTGCAGAGGATGCTGCGAGCCCGGAGCCGAGAGGCAGGTGCTGGCCCGGCCCTCTAAGCTTGCCTAGAGGTGTGCCGAGAGGCCCCCTTCTCGGCCCCAAAGCCGTCTGCCGGGCAAAGGCTTCCAGAACAGGCGAGAGCAGCCGCCGCCCCGACTCGCCACAGAACCCCGGCCGGGCACCATGTCCTCCGCCAGGTTCGACTCCTCAGATCGCTCTGCTTGGTACATGGGACCGGTGTCTCGCCAGGAGGCGCAGACCCGGCTCCAGGGCCAGCGCCACGGCATGTTCCTAGTCCGCGACTCCTCCACCTGCCCCGGGGACTATGTGCTGTCTGTATCCGAGAACTCGCGCGTCTCCCACTACATCATCAACTCTTTGCCTAATCGCCGTTTTAAGATCGGGGACCAGGAGTTTGACCATTTGCCGGCATTGCTGGAGTTCTACAAGATCCACTACCTGGACACCACCACCTTAATCGAGCCAGCGCCCAGGTACGCGAGCGCTTGGGGTTCCCGGGCGTGCAACCGGCCCGACTGCTGAGGAGGGTCGAGAATGGGCTCTGTTGAAAAGAGTGTGTATATAAGGGGCAGGGGTGAATCGATTCTGAACCAGAAGGCGTTTCGAACGAACAGCTTATCTTAGGATCTGGGTCACTGGATGAACGGATGCTTTTTAATCACTGATTGCATAGTCCCATGCATACCTTTTTTTTTTTTTTTTTAATAACCCCGTTTTGGCTCGTAGACTTCTTTAAAAAGATTGCCGCTGCATGCCTTCTCCCCATCTCCCCGAAAATTCTTATACACACGCTTTGCACACCATTCAGGGTTCTTGAACCCCCAACAGAATTCACAACTACAAGGTTAAGAAATGGACTACAGCCTTTCAAACAATTGCTTTATTGTTCAAGAATAATAATAGTAATATCTTTATCTGAAGTATCAGAACTATTTATTGATATTCTGATGCCAGGTTTGAAGCGGGCCAGACACCTCTTTTACTACACTTAGAAACGAAAACGTGCATTGGTTTCAGCAATGACATTTTTAGGCAAATTTGTATTTCCTCCCCAAAGGTGAACCATTACTAGGCTAAACATCATTTTGGTTAATTACCAAGATGGAGTGGCACTTATTCTTTTACTAGTTCAATTTCATAAATACTTCCTGTATTGAGTCTAACAGCCTAACAGCTATTTTAAAGCTAATAAAGAACTGAGAGTGATACCATCAGGCTTTCTTTTTTCCGAGTGAAATATGTTATTTTATTTGATTATTTGCTTCAATGGGTATCTTATCAACGAATTCTTTTATTTATACCAAACGTCAGTTGAAAAATTACCTAGAAATTTTTTTAAATTAATTTCTATGGTGCTGGGGATCAAATTCATGGCCTGGCACATGCTAGGTAAATGTTCTACCACTGAGCTATGCTATGTCACCATCCTAGAATTTTAAAATAAAAGGTATTTTCCTGCTCAGTGTCTTTCTTAAAACATCTAATTAAAAAGGATCAAAATAGATTTTTTAGGGTGAGATTCGCAAACAAGGTATTATTCTGAACTTTAACATTAAAAATTATTATAATTAAGAGCACCTATTGTTTATTTGGGAAAGAACTAAAGAAGAAAGCCATGACTGTATTATAGACTTAAGATTAACTACTGATCTAAATAGACTTAAAAAAAAGAGGGGGGTAGTGATTGTAAGTCAAATTCTGTATAACAAAGACTAGGACACCAAGAATCTGACTGGTGAAACTTGGTCTTAACAGCTGCTGGTAGGTGCTATCAACTTTGAGCACAGTGTAAATCCTGTATGAGGGATTGGAGAGAATATTAGATCCACTGTAATAAGATTGGTAGTATGTTTAAGAAAGTTGCTTCCTCTAATTTGTTAAAGTGAATTATGTAATTAATTTCAAGTCTTTATTAAGCCATGCTGTGTGCGAGGCATGTGCTTACATTGAGGTGACAGATCCTAAATACTGCTGTTTCAAAAACTGAAGTAATGGCTTGATCCTCTTATAGAAGGAGGAAAAGGAATATGCTGCAGTGGCATCCCACTACCCACAAAATCCAAAATTATCCATAAACATGTCTTCTCAGATATCGGATATAATTTTCTTTGTCTCTTTTCTTCTTCAGTGAAGCTCTACAAGGCTGCCCACCCATTCCCTGTTAGTTTTCCTTACCTACTTATACCTTTTTTGTACCTTTGCTGGGATACTCCTCATTGCCTCATTCCACTTTACTTTAGTGTCCTCACAAATAATAGGGTTTTTCCCTGATCCTCCTCTTCAAATTCGGCTTTGTTTCTCCTCTATTCTGTGCTTTCTGCCCCAGACATATTGCTGTTTTTCATTTTCACTGATAACGCCGAAGATGGTCATGATTCTGATTGAATTGGACCCCATTTGAATTTACTTTGTCATACTGAATTATTGACATGCCACTTCCACGTCTGAAATTCGGGAATAGATTTAACATTTAGAATAAAGCTAGTGGTTAGTATATAAAGCTAGCCTTAGTATAAAGCTAGTGGTTAAGCTGGGCAAGGTGGTATACACTCATGGCTGAGGTGGGAGGGTAGCTTGAACCCAGAGGTTTCGAGATTAGCTGGGGCAACATAACCTTGCAAGATGCCCTATCTCCCTCTCCCTTTTAATTTTTTTTTTTTTTTAGTATTTGGGGTGGAACCCAGGGTTGATGTACCACTGAGGTACATCACCAACCCATTTTATTTTTTTTTATACTGATCTCACTAAGTGGCTCAGGCTGGCCTGCAACTTGGAATACTTCTGCCTCTGAATAGCTGGAATTACAGGTGTACACCACCATGCCCAGAGAGACTGTCTCAAAAATATAAAATAAAAATAAAGCTAGTGGTTAGTAGAGCCTTGGCCAATAGAAAACTTAATGCAATGCTTCTTTATATCCCAAACAGGATAAATTAAGTAGTTTAACTTTTCAGGTATCAAAACTGAGCTTTTTTTTAATATTTGTTTTTTAGTTGTAGTTGAATACAATACCTTTGTTTTATGTATTTATTTTATGTGGTGCTGAGGACCAAACCCTGGGATCTCGCACACTCTAGAGGAGTGCTCTACCACTGAGCCCCAGCCCCAACCCCCAAACCTAGGCTTTTTAAAGTCAGAGTTTTCTTGTCCTTTGGTTAATAGTTTTTTACATTTATCTATGGTATTCTTATTGTATATTTTAAATTATTTAATCCCTGAAGAGTGTCATGTTGGATAGCTTTTGTTGTTTTTGAATGAATCTGAAATATTTTCATTGTGCACATTAGTGTGATTTTTATATGGTTAATCAGTTAATAAACAGAAATCCTGTGGTGATTTTTTTTCCCTTCATTTTGGGCACACAACATTTTTAAGATTTTGTTTAGGGCCCGGCATGGTGCCATACCTCTGTAGTCCCTCTTGCTTGGTAGGCTAAGGCAGGAGGATAACTTGAGCCCAGGAGTTGGAGGCCAGCTTAGGTAACCTAGACCCTGTCTTAATAAAAAGGGTTATGTTTAAGTTGTAGTTGATATTCACCTAAGCTCTAGTTTTTTTTAATATGGTCTGTTTCCAATCAAACAATGTTTCAAAAGGTTTCTGGGTGAATTGCTTGGATTTGAAATACATTTCCCCTGGTTTAAAAATTTGAAAGTGTATTTTGTATAGCTTACTTTGCTTATAAAATTTTCCAGTTCTAAAGAATGAAGATAAATGCAAGCTAGGAAAAAAAATTTTTTTTGACAAAAATTTACCATTAAAAACAGGGAATTTGGGCTGGGGCTGTAACTCAGTGGTATAGTGCCTGCCTCACTTTTGAGGCACTGGATTCAATCCTCAGCACCACTTAGAAATTATTTGTAAATAAAGATATTGTGTCCATCTACAACTTAAAAAAAAAAACTGAGGGAATTTGATCCTTTATAAAAATCATGTTTTGTTTTGTTTTTTTGTCACTGGGGATTGAATTTGGGACTCAACCATTGAGCCACATCCCCAGTCCTATTTTGTATATTATTTAGAGACAGGGTCTCATTGAATTGCTTAGTTCCTTACTGTTGCTGAGGCTGGCTTTGAACTTGTGATCCTCATGTGTAAAGTACCTGAAGCTATTTGGTTTGTGACTTTCTCTTGTTTAAGATTCAAATCCAGAGAATTTTTATGTAAAGGTTTTCAATTTTAAAGCAGGGCCTGATGGCTAACACCTGTAGTTTCAGTACGTGGAAGGCTGAGGCAGGAGGATCATTTTGAATATAGGAGTTGGAGACTAGCCTAGGCATACACCCAGTCTCCAAAAAAATATATGTGTGTACATATATATACACACGTGTGTGTGTGTATATATATATATATATATATATATATATATATATTACATACATATATACACACAAACATACACACATATATATGTAAATTTTTTAGTTGTAGATGGACACAGTACCTTTATTTATTTATGTGGTTCTGAGGATTGAACCCAGTGCCCCAGGCATGCAGGGCAAATGCCATACCACTGAGCCACAACCCCAGCCCATATATATATATTTATATTATTAACTTTGATCTGAACTGTTGGACTAGATTATTTACAAGTATCCTTAAGACTAAAGTATTTTCGTTTTTCTGGTAAGTAAAGTTAGGGCCACCAGTCTAGTCAGCTTGCCTGGAATGATAGCTAAGCATGTGAAAATAGCATGCAAGAATAAGGAGGTGACGAGGCTTGGAAAGTGTACCATGTGGCACATAATGTTTATCCTTTTATGTTTAACAAACTAAAGTTAAGTATTTGGAGTGCCTGAGCTTTTGTAATCTCAGAAGAAAAGAGAGAGCCCAAAACTACTCTCAAGGCATATGGGAGTAAACCATGGTTTTTGTCTTTGAGAAGCTATGTCTATTGAAAAATTGAAATAGAATGCCATAGGAGGGAGGTCAGCTTTGCATAAGGGGTCAGAAAAGACTTGAAAGAGGAGGTACTCTTTCAACTAATTCTTAAAAATGAGAACCAAGTATATGAGGTGGAAGAGTCGTAGCAGTGCCTGCTGGGAAAGGCATAGAGTTGTAATTAATGTGAGTGATGGACACTAGGCAGGAAAGATAAAGCTTAACTCATAAAGGGTCTCCTGTGCCTTGTAAATAAGTTTAACAGTGAGAACCATCTAAGTTTCTAAAAATAATTTGTCATGATCAGCTTTACTGGTTTTTTGTTGTTGTTGTTGTTTTTGTTTTTTTTTTTTTTTTTTTTGGTATGTGTGTATATATGTGTGCGCCAGTGTGCCCCCACTGAGGATCAGTTTTACTTTTTAGAAACTTCTATGGTTTGGCGCTGGGTAGGAGACTGTCTAGTGGATGGGGCTAATTAAGGGCTGTTATCAGAGAGGGTCCATGAGAAGCTGAACTGAGATCAACTGTCCTGGGAATGTAAAAGTGGTACCGACAGCCTTTCTGGGATAGTGTACACAGAAGGTAAGAGAAGAAT